GTCCGGTCGGGGTGCGACCTCTTCACTTTGCGCCTCTGGTTGCTTGAGAGAAGGCGGCGCGAATCGATACTAGACATGATGGCTGCCAAGAAGAAATCAGTGTTAGTTCAGTAAGAATGAAATATATATATGCATATGAACACAATGTCGTGACAAAAACCATTCGACCTAAAGGGACAACCTACCCGGGCTCAGACCGGCCTGCACGAGCTTCTCCTCGGCCAAGTAATCTGAATAGGGGAAGCCTACCGATGCCCAGGACAGCATCGTTTTCTGAGTTTCGGGGTCCAGCTTGGCCCCGAGGTCCTGGATGGCGCCCCTCCAAGAAGTTGGGAAGGGCCACCCCTCGAGGTTACGGACCACAAAGTAATCCCGCTTCCAGGCGGGAATCTTATTCGGTAGGTCGTACAAGTGCTTATAGCCGCGGCGGGGAGAGAGGTAGTAAAAGCGCCTCTCCGGTGGAACCCCAGGAGTAGCATTTTTTATACAAAGAATAGAGGCAAAAATATCAAGGTTCAAGGGAAGACAATACTCATAACACAAAGATATAGTCCCAACCTTGTTCTGAATGGCGTTGGGATGAAGCTGATCGATGGTGACGTTAAAATGGTTTAGCACCTCCACTATCAAGGGGTGCAAGGGGAGATGCAGGCCAGCCTCGAGCTGTTCCTGGAAGATAACTATGTCATTGGGACCATGCTCCCAAGGGAAGTTGCCAATGGGGAGGCTGTAGGCCAGGTCCCCAGGGAGGTGAAAGTAGCGGATTAGAGACCTGAGTCTCTTCGCTGTCATGGAGGAAGGGCCAAAAGTGTCAAGCTCCCTCCCCCGAGAAGTAGATGCTACATCACCGGAGGCCTCCCGAGCCTCTGGGACATGCTCCCAAGCTCCCCCCGATCTAAGCTTGATGGCCTAGATCAAAGCAGATCCAACGGCTCGCAGGCGCACTGACCGCACGCTTCTGAAAACTGAAGGTGATTGGTGGCACGTCTTCCACGTTTAAGGTAGTGGCGGACGCACGACGTCCGGAGTTAAGAGCCACTTCAGCACGTTTTCGAAATCCGAAGAGTCAAGAAAGTCAGAAAATCTCTTGATTCCCGCGAATGCATTTAATGTGAGTAGTCAATCAAGTTTGAATTCCGGTCAAATCAGTCCATCACGCTTCATGAACTCCTCGCGTTAAGGCAATGCTCTTAGCTCAAGGAATGGGGGGCAATTGATGGAGGACGATTTGACCTGACCTATGAAACGGTGACACGTGGACACTGACTCAGCACGAGCGACAACTCAGCATTGTAGCCTGGTGCGACCAAGTGACGGGCCCATAAAGCAGCTCGCTACATTGTAGCTCACAAAAGGAGGAGCCCGCCACAACGCAAGCTCCGGGTTCCCGAGCTACCTTTGAAGGGATACTCCGAGGCAATTTTAGCTCGCGAGCTAGGGGAACTAGCTCGCCCGAGCTCCCAAGCAAACAAGTCATCCCAAGGACCAATTCAATTAAGGGTAATCCTAAAGTATTCCGAGCTCGCTACAAAGTAGCTCGCGAATGAGCCGTGTGAGAATTCCTCAAGAAGCTTCTATTTGACAGGCCGTACCGATCAGACTGCGCTATGTCCCTTACTGACTGCCCAGTCCCTGTCCTTTCGACAGTCTATGTCCACGTCTCTCACCAGGCGGAGGCGTGCTTGCCACTTGGGAGACGTGTCACTCACCCGGGCAAGAAGTACGTCACAACGGCCACCTACGCAGCCCTGGCAGGTAATGGCTATGGCAGGAGCCCAGTGAGGGTTATGCCCGACCTGGCATGGACGCCCCTATAAAAGTCCTCAGGGCAGAAGAGAAACTTCTTCTTGAGACCTATAATCTCTCGAGTATAGTGATAAGGCGCTATCTGCACTCTTAGCTTTCGTCTTCTCCTTGCTTCTCCTACAAAGTACTAACTTAAGCATCGGAGTGTTCCCGCCGGGTAAGCCCCCGGGGATTCTTCTTCTTCTTCATCTCAGGTATCTTGTAGGAGTCACATGAGTGCCAGCTAGGAGTGATCGGATCGTGCTACATCAAAAACCTATCTTATTATTATTATTATTGTTATTATTATTATTCATTAATAATAATTGAATGAAAATTAGTTTAAAACATTATATATATGTTAATTATTGATTTATTTTCATATATAGGGTGTCATAATATATAGTTGAAAGCTTTTCATTATAATTTAAATTTTGTAAATATTAGCTTTACTTGGGGTGCAACCTGGGTGGGTCTAACTCGAGTCTGGACTGGTGCAGTCTAAAATTTTACATGGGTTGAGTTTGGGCCCAAGACTTTGAGCTTTTTTATTTTTCAAGTAGGGCCCAGGCCTTGCCCTTAGGTAGGCCGAACCTGGCTCAAGCCTAACCCGAATATACACATTCATACAATACATATATACAAGCGGATTTGTATACATTTTACATACATATATGCACACTTATTTGCATGAATGCATACATACATGTGTAATTTTAGAGTGGGTTCATTGGCCAACCCAACCCCAACCCAAGTGAATCAAATTACTATGCAGGTTGGGCTTGAGTTGGGAAGGTCGGGTTTGACCTTGGGCTCAAGCCTTAGGCCTAAATCTTAGGTTTAGCCCTGGGTTGACCATAAACCTTGCCTAACCCACCCAACTTGTACTACTATGCTAAGCTTTATAGATTTATATTGCTTATTATGTACATTTGGATATTAAGGTCTAGTTTGTTTTTAATTAAATAGGAGGGGGGAAGTTGGTTAGCGGGAACATCCTGCTAACAAACTTTCATATGTTCTTTTTTCGATAGGCTATGGGCCCTGCAATATAGTTATTTTTCTTAGGTATTACTGACCCCATCTCCTTGGTAAGTAATTAACTTTTCCACTTAAGGATAATTTACAAACAGGAACATGGGTAACTGAACTTGCCTCTTGAAAAACCAATAGGACCTAGATTCAAGAAAAACTACCAATTCACTAATGTGGCTCAATAGGTGAGACCATGATCTTTGTAACCATGAATATTTGGATTCATTTATTCACATCCTCAAAATATTTTGGAATTTATTTTAAGACATGTTCAATTCTAAAGCTAGTTAATTTCTATTCCACAAAGGCTGGTTTTACAAGAGTCAATCAAGTTTGGTTCTAAGGCTAAGGCTAGGTACAGTTCCATAAACGCCAACCAAAAGCTGATTCTCTTAATCAGTTTGTATAGAATAAATCCTAGACCTTGGAACAACTAGGTAGGGATCAATTATAAGAATTTGGAACTGGACGTGGGGTGCAAGTGAACTAGATCATGAGTTCATCATCCAATCCAAATTCGAATATGATCCTATTTTGTCGAATTCAGATAAGCTCCTCCCCGCTCGAATTTTCAGATGAAGTTGGGTCAAATAATAAATCCAATTAAGACTCAAATCGAATTTGGATCACCATATCCGATCCAGAAAAAAATAATTGAAAAAGAATCCTTGTATTTTTTGTTTTCTATTTGTATAGACAGTTGTGCCTTTTTTAATAAATAATTCGTTAAATTTTATAATAATTAAATGGGATCTGATCAGATTCGGATATCTAACGGGTTTGAATTCGAATTAACTGTTGTGAGATCGGATCGGATCGAATATAAATATACCCGATCCGATCCGATTCGTTTGCATTCCTAAATCATCCCTAGTTTCAGGGACGGAGGAGGCCCAGTGGCCCACTGCCCCATAGATGAACGGTTCGTCGTCTACGACAGTACGACGTGGTCAGTATGAGATTCAGGAATCATTGCGATTTGAGATGAGAAAAAATAAAAGATAAATCCAAAAGATGAGTGTAAACTCATTCCTCGAGTCCTAAGAAAAGTCAAATTATCCTCTTCCTCCCATCATCATGCTATAAAACGGGACAAATGTCCAACGGCTTCTTCAAGAAACTGCGTGCTACACTGCTACTGCCCTCCTGGAACTGCCACTGCCAACCTCTTAATGTCTGAAAAATTATTAAAATAATTTCAGAGTGTATCTCCTCTCGATTTACAAATAAAATCCCACGATCGAACCGTTCAACCGTCTGATCAAAGCTGGTAGTCTTGGATCGGCCTACCAAAGAAATTTAGTGGGTTGAATTTTGGGGTGTTAAATGGATCGGCTTTGGATTGGACAAGTAAAATCATAATAGTTTATTTATCGAATTGGATTGGACCTGATTAATTTATATTGAATTAGGTTAGATTAAACCAATATCTGATTCAATGGACTTGGATTGGAATCAATCTAAATTAAAATTAATTTGAACAGATAGGATGGTTCAAATTGAACCGCTCTAAAATGCTTCAAAATATTCATCTGATTGGATTGGACCTGATTCATAATTGGACCGAATCGAATCGAATCGAACCAAATCCGTCCAATTGAGACCCCTATTTTGGGCTAAGCATTCTCTAAAAAAGGGCAGAACGGGGAGAAAAATTATCTTGGGCCTTCTGGACAATTCATATATTATTAGTGGAACGTTAACTCTAGTTCGTTTGCATTTATGGCCCAACAGTGGCCAACAGCACTAATTCACTAAAGAGTAAAGAGGATCAAAAGGGAGATCGACAAATGGAAAAAAGTTGCAACGTGGCAATGGACGCGTAGGAAAGCGCTCCCAACACAACACTGGGAACATTTCCCTGTGTGCGACTGTGATGACTTGTTGGAACAGTATTGGTAGCAGGAGATCTGAACTCGGCGCCTAAATGCTGAAGTGGCGAAGAGCGCATCCCACTCGGAGAAAAAGCATAGAAATCGAGAACCCTAACCCAGTTGTAACCTAACTTTTAACCCAACGAACTCAGTGGAAGAGAGAACTCAAAATTTTGAAAGCACATGCTAGGTAACCGTTGAGAGTTGAGACAATAGGGACCAACGTGACTTTTCCATCTCACAATCCAACGGACATCATTCACTAGCCGTTGTTTTTAAAAAAAGAGCATGCATGTGCAGACATATATCCGTCATTTTCGTCTGTGTTCCGATATTCATTTTCGTTTTCTTAGCCAAAACCTAAGGAGCCAGGAAGAAGAGAAGAGACTTGAAAAATAAATGCCTCCATTGTTCCTCTAAATGGAGTTCTCTCTGTAGTCTCTCTCTTCTTTGGAGTGTGGAAGTACGGTCAGATTAACGGCGTTCGCCGCCGGAACTCGCACCGATCAAGATCGAAAGTTATTTTGGGGGTTTCCTGTAGGTCGGTGGATTGCCTTTTTTTTTTATTTTATGATCTGGGCTTTCGTTGTTGAATTTCGTCCTAGATTAATTATTTTCTGTTTTTTTTCTTGACCTGGGTTTCGTAGACCGAGGGGTTTTGAACTTTTGATAATCTTTATCTAGGTTTTCTTTTAAGTTTCTTGGATTTTTTGAAGGTGATTGAATCGCATCATTTCTTGTTGTCATTGTTCTTGTAGATAATCAAAATGGGTGGATCAGATGAGAACAATCCTGGTGTTTTAAGACCAGCAAATTTTCAAGGTAATTCCATCATATTTTATTACATTTCTGTTTTTATTTTTCTTTGTTTATATTTTTTTTTCCTTTTCGAGAGCCTAAGAGAGAGAACAAACAATTGAAATTTTATTTTTTACTTTTGGGCTTCCATTTTCTTTATTAAAGGTGGTCTTCGGATGGGGGGAGGGAAGTTTGTCCCAGAGATCGGACACAACAGGAGGGCTTTGAGCACTATCAATCGAAATTTAGTTGGAGGTCCACCTTACCCTTGCGCAGTCAACAAGAGAGGCCTAGCAGAGTAATTTCTTAAGCCCATCTCAAGTTCCATCTAGGCTTTTCTCTGAATCCAATTACCATTAATCGAAATCCAGTCTTTTTCCTAGTTTGATCTTTCTAATTTGATCTTCTCTGTCTCCCAGAAAACATGCAACCTGTGATAAGAATCCGGTCATTCCAGTTCATCGACCAATTACAAGGTCAGGAATTAATCCTTTCTTTGATTTCTACTGGGTTAAAAAGAAAAGTAGCTTCTTCATCACATGTCATTGGCGAATTTCTTATAATTGGCTTTTGATTTTGTTCAGGAAATTTGCTGCACAGATGGCCAACAAGCAGCAGCCTTGCCCCGAGGTACATTCTTAATACACCAGGAAACAGAAAGCATGATTCATCATTGTTCTTTTTTTGCTTTGGTTGATCATTTTCTCTGTTTTCGTTTTTTAATTTTAAAGGAGGTTAAGAACCCAATCCCCTCAGTTGTGAATCCAAGTGTTTCGGAAGACTGTACCATCATAGATGTGGATGACTACAAGGGGAATAATGATTTCCCTGTTCCAATGTTTGTGAAGCACACAGAAGCAATGCTAGAAGAAATTGATCGCATGGTATTTACTGCAGACATTATCTCCTTCTGAAATGGGTTTTTGACCATGGAAGATTGAACTTTGACACTATATTATGTTGTAGGAGGAAGTTGAAATGGAAGATATAGAGACTGAGGAGGCCGTGATGGATATCGACGACTGTGATAAGAAGAACCCACTTGCAGTTGTTGACTACATTGGAGATATCTATGCTTACTACAGAAAAACTGAGGTGAACCCTCATATCTCCTCACCTCCAATTGTAATAAAAAATCAAACTTTTTGGAGGATCAGTTGCTAGTAGAGCTGATGTAGAAATCCCAGTAGACAAGTGTGAGAATTGACCAAGTAAAACTTTTTTTCTATGCAGAGTTGCAGTTGTGTCTCACCAAATTACATGGAAAAGCAGTTCGACATCAATGAGAAGATGAGAGCAATACTCGTTGACTGGCTAATCGAGGTACAGATGTTGTTGGTAGAAGTAGAGAGTATCAGTTACTCCCAAATAGTAGACATGGTTACTGATAAACACAAACCAAATGAACAGGTGCACTACAAGTTTGAACTCATGGACGAAACGCTATTCCTTACTATCAATCTCATAGACAGATTCTTAGAACGGCAAACGGTGGTGAGAAAGAAACTTCAGTTGGTTGGGGTGACGGCCATGCTCTTGGCCTGTAAGTACGAGGAAGTTTCTGTTCCTGTTGTGGAGGATCTGATTTTGATATCAGACAAGGCCTACACAAGGAAGGAGGTTCTTGAGATGGTAAGTTTGTTTCTGTCTTTTCCCCTATCCATACAGACTACAGAGCAGCTTTAGCATTCTGGTTTAATTCCACTACATTAAATAATTCTATTTCTGATGCTTACAGGAGAGACTAATGGTCAACACATTACAGTTCAATTTGTCTGTTCCTACCCCATATGTATTCATGAGGAGGTTCCTTAAGGCAGCTCAATCTGACAAGAAGGTAGGAGCTAGTAGATCTTTTTCCATGAATGAGAGAGTATATTGCACATTGGTTTTAGCAAATTAATCTTCATGTGATTCTGTGGCAGCTTGAGCTTCTCTCATTCTTCATGATTGAGCTTTCTCTGGTTGAGTACGAAATGCTCAAGTTCCCACCATCCCTGTTAGCTGCTGCTGCAATATACACTGCTCAGTGTACAGTTAATAGGTTTAAGCACTGGAATAAAACCAGCGAATGGCATACCAGTTATTCAGAAGATCAGCTCCTGTGAGTAGTGATTGTTGTTTCTTTTAACCATGTTTTATGGTAGAGAGGTCAATAGATGGATGAGGTTTAGTGATTGTTATTTCTTGTGTGTGGTTTTCAGGGAATGTTCCAAACTGATGGTGGCTTTCCATCAAAAAGCAGGATGTGGGAAGCTCACGGGGGTGCACAGGAAATACAGTACACATAAGTTTGGTTATGCAGCAAGATCTGAACCAGCTCAGTTTCTATTAGAGACCAGCCTCTAGCAGGTCATGGGGTCAATAATTAACCACAACAGTGACTAACTTATGTGAATTCGAGTCTTTCCAAGGGGGGTGTGTGCAAAATGTGCAACAAAAGTTGCCCTGGGGGAAGTCAAGTCTTGGTTGGTGTCTTTTGTTGCCAAAAATAATTTGTCTATTTTACTTTCTGTGTGAACATACATACTTGGATAATAATGTCACCTTTTTTTATCTGCTTTTTTTTTTTTTTCAAACAATACTTGTTCCTTTATGAAGATGAAGTGCGAGTATGTGCAGGGGTTTAAATTTGTTTTGGAAACTATGTCCCTCCCCAGACCCCGCATTGGCAATCTCTTGGAGCAAATGCATCCCCACTAATCAACCAAACAAGAAATAATCTGCATTTGCTCTCCTCACACCAATCTCATAAGAAACAGCTTGAAGCATCTAAATGAGACATGGCGGTTTCTCTTGAAAAAATGGCTCCAATATCAAATACCAAATACCATCTAAATGAATGGGTAATTTAATAAAAAATAACTGAATTGATTGTAGTAGGTGGTGAGAAAAGGATTGGACTATAATGCCGGAAACAGACTGATTTGAGTAAAGGGTTGGCCAGAAACAGACTGATTTGTAGTGGGGCAGCAGCATTCTTTTTTTCTTTTTTCTAGAAAACAAAAGAAAATAAAACAAGAGTTTAAATTTGCTTGGACAACCAATATGTGCAGGGGTAAGGCTGTGTACATTTATCCCCTCCCCAAACCCTACATTGGCGGGGGAGCCTCCAGCCCTGGGCACTCTAAGGCCCCGTTCACTTTTCGGTAATTGTGTATGTGCAGGGGTAAGGCTGTGTACATTTATCCCCTCTTGAAACCCTACATTGGCCGGAGCTTCCAGCCCCGGGCATTCTAAGGCCCCATTCGCTTTTCGGTAAGTTACTTACCTGGTAAATGCACTTACCTATAAGTGTTTCCCAGGAAAGATTTACCCAGGTAACCCATGTTTTTTTGTTTCCCATGTAAGTGTAATGCAATGACCATTTCAATCATAAAAATCCATTATTACAAGGGGCATTTTTGTTCCATTATTACAAGTGTTGGCAACTTTCCCCCAAGGTGAGAAAGTTATTTACCCACCAGGAAAATAAACTTTCCTTGGTTCCCACATAAATCTGAAAAAAGAACTTAGGATTCTTGGTCAACTTTCCCCCTCTCAAAATCCAGAAAAAGAAGGCCCCTAATTTGCAAAACAGCTAAGGAGGGCTGCAATGACCAATGATCAACTCCAAAACCATGGTTGATGCCTTGGGCAGCCCAACCCAACTTTAAGGTGGTTTTTGGTATTAGCCCACCTAAAAGTTAAAGAGAAAAAGCTGAATCCAGTGCAAACACTCAAGTTCTTGTTTATTTCTATTTATTCCCATTTGAAGACACATGGATGCCACTAAGCATCACATTGAAAATGCCTCTAGAGTTCTCATCCTGTGAACCCATGGGTTCATGGGGAGCGTGAATCCACCAACCAGAGGCAACCACATTGACAATTTCAAAAAATGAATAACTTTAATAGGTTCTCAGCTGTTAGCTGAACAAAATCCAGGGGATGTTTGCAATACTATCCAGGTGAACCGTTTCCCCTAACGGTTGGCTGATGTGTGTATCCTATGTGGTGCTTACCTGTCAGCACATACATGAAAAATGGTGATGAAAATCACCTTACCAAACAGAATAGTGTTGCTCACTGCCTGCGTGGCAGAAGCGTTTTTTTGTGAAAAATGAGTCTTGGAAGCATGGGCGTTTTTTCTTGAAAATCGGTCCCAAAAAGCGCCCACGCTTCCAAACACCATGCCAGTCGAACCACCCGCAAAAAGACAAAAATCCAAAACAGGGCTTCTTTCAAAGTTTCAAGACCATTCGAACTCTCCTCCCCATCTCTTGACCTCACCTCCTGCGAGCCCTAATTTGAGCATCCCATCGGCCACTCACCAAGTCTTTGACTGTGGAACGACAACAAGAATTTGGGCATTCCAGTGGATACTTTCCCTTCTTCTTCTTCTTCTTCTTCTAATGTTATTTTTTCTCTTCTCTTCTCAACATATCAAAGATCCTTTAGCAGCTCACGCCAGTGGTCAGTAGTCATTGGAACAAAGGTAACTTGCAACTTCAAAGTACAAGTAGGAAATTAGCCTGCAATTTCAATGTTCAAACTACATTGTTGAACTTCGTCTGTGATTGCTTGATCCGTTCAGACTCCCAACAACCGGGTCAAGTATTTTGAAACTCCTGATTGCTTGATCCATTATAGGGGACACTGCTTGATTCATCCCAGATGATTCAGATTTTGAAACTCCTTAGTAGTTTTTACTAACAACACCCAACAAAAGACAACTCAATCCAAGCTATAAGATAAAATCAAAGAAAAAAAAGACTCCATTAGAAAATTCACCTTATCATCAAGCATAGTTTCAGTGAATATTTGTATCTCATTCAAGCACAACTTGTTCATTTATTGAAGTACTAAATTATTAATACCAAGCATGCAATCAGCCATTATTTATAGCTGATATAAGCTATATTATCAATATACATTTGTTCCGATGACTACTAACCGCCGGTGTAGCTGCTAAGGGATCTTCGATCAGTTGAGAAGAGAAGAGCAAAAATAACATTAGAAGAAGAGGAAGGGAGAATACCGTGGGCGGAGCCATGGCCCTTCCATAGTTCAAAAAGTCCCCACTGTAATACAGTTTTTTTATGTAAAATTTCCCTTCCCCCACTCTCCACCTCAATGGTTGGCCCCCCTATGGGTCCATCCATATTTATTCCCCCCCCCCACACACATTCATTTAGGTTTTGGCTCCCCTTATAAAAATTTCCTAGCTCCGTCCTTGAGGGTACCTGTTGGAATACTGGAGTTCTTGTCGTTGTTCTACAATCACGGTCATTGTTCCACAGTCACGGTTGTCAGGACTCTGATGAAATGAGGACAAGAGATGGGGAGGAGAGTTTGAATGACCTTACAACTTTGAAAGAAGCCTTGTTTCAGATTTTTGGGTTTTTTTTGTGGGTGGTTCAACCGGGTTTGTTCAGATAACGGCTGGACACCCATTAAAGTTATTCCTTTTTCAAAATTCTGACGTGGTCGCCTTTGGTTGGCGGGTTCACACTCCCAATGAACCTAGGGGTTCACAAGATGCAAACTCATGCCTACTAATAAGAAGTGTGAAAAAAGACTTTTTTTGTTTTTTGGAAAAGTGATTTTAGGCAAGGTTTAAAATTTTGATACAATACGCCTGATACGGGGCATATCGTATTGTATCTTTGAAAAACAGATACGGGATATGTAGGGAAATCGGGTGTCTCGTCTTTTTTCATGCATATTAGACCCGTATAGGGGGTGTATCGGGGCATATTGACGAAAAAGATACGACAAAAAATTGAAAAAAATAAAGGGAGAAAGCAAGCTTCTTTCACCTCAAAATGATTCTAAAACTCCAAACCTCATTCCTAGATTGATCGATTTGCAAGAAACAAGTGTGAATCGTTAATTTTTTTGAAGATTTTTCAAATTTGAAAAAATATGGAAAAAATAGGTAAAATTTTTCAATATTTTATAATATCTTGTGATTTCTTTTTTTTACTTGAATGTTTAAATGTATGTTGATCTACATTTCTTACATTCAAAATCACAATTTTTTTTTTGTGTTATCTGTAGATTTATGGAAATTTCATGAAGATATTTGGGGAAAATATATATTAACAAAAAATTTGAAAATATAATTTTTTTCTTTGCCTATAAAGACTAATCGGTTTTAGATCTATGGATTTATCTATCATATCCATAGAGCAATTGAAATTTCTTCTTTAATATATTTTTTATTTTTTATTTTTATTTTTAGAATTAAAAAAATAAATAATAATTAATTATATTTTATCATTTGATCACAAAAATTGAATATATTTTAATTCTATGAATGATCTAATATATCCACTGACCAATTGAAAATTATTTTTTTTATTTTTTAGAATTAAAAAATAAATAATTAATTAATTATATTTTATCATTTTATCACAATTTGAATATATTATAATTTTATAGATGATCTATCATATCCACAAAGCAATTGAAATTTGTTCTTTAATAACTATTTTTTAATATATTATATGATGTTTACTTATTTTTTATAATTTTTGGAAATAAATAATTGTTAATTATATTTTCACTTAGAAGTTGTGCCAATGCATGTTTTGTGGTTGGACAAGATAGTTGGATTTTTCCCATCCCATAAAACATTAAAACTTAAGAATTATAATTTATAAATTATAGTTAAGCATAGGATTTTTAATGAAATTATAATTAACTATAATATATTTCTTCGTAAAATCAATAAAATATATTAATTTAATGTATATACACCTCATTGTGGTCTTATATTTAGTGTTGTGGATGTATTTTTATGATTTATTAAAGTATTTATAGTGTTTCCAAACTTATATATGCGTATCTTAGTTTTTCTCCGATACGCATGCATATCCAAGGTGTATCTCGATAGGTATCTTAAAATTGCCTTTTCGACACACTTGGTGTTTTCGATAATTTGAACCTTGATTTTAGGTGAAAGAGAAAATTTATGATATCAGAAGGACATGGTACAAAAAGAGATTTGCTTGACCAATCAAAGCACATCATTGGTCACTTCTTTTGTGATGATGGTTGATTGGCTGTAAATTTTTCTGATATGATGTCTTTCCGGTATCATAGTTGAATTGGGGTAAAGAGTTGCATCCACTTTATATTTCCAACCAGTCAACCAAACAAGAAATAATCTGGATTTACTCCTCACACCAATTTCCCAATACTTACAACCACCAATCAGAACATGCATACTTGCATGTTGCCATTCATTGGAGATGTTGTGCATGGCTGCACATGGCTGATAGAAGTTTGTCTTGAAAAAAACCCTACCATAAACCATCTAAATGAATGGGTGATTTGTTTTATAATAAAAACAAAAACTGAATTGATTGTAGGTGAGTTTAAATATGTGCTTTTGAAAATAAAAAATAGTTGTCACATCAGCACATAATATAGGGCCTGTTGGTGCGCCTTTCCACGTGGTCTTTTGGCTGTTTACAATCCATGAAGACCAATTTTCGGTCTATTTCTGTTTGGTGCGTAGAAGATCTAACCGTCAAAAGGCGAAACGTCGAAAATATGCGAGAAGCCACAT